CCTAAAATGTTAAATTGAGTTTGAATTCCTAACAATTCACATTTTAGGAGCAGCAGGGAGGATCCTAGAACACTAATAAAACACAATTCTCTTAAGGATCCTTGAGGCCAACGGCAGTAGCGAGATAGGGCGGTAGGTGGATTGGGAGTTTAGGTCAAAGGTGGGCCTTTTCAGAATAGAGCTTACAGTTGCACCTTTGAAGGGTGAAGGACAAAATGCAAGGGAGGGCCAGACCACCTGGTCACCTAAGACTGGTACATGTCTCCGAGCTGACGCCTTCTTCTAAAAGAACTGTATCAATATCACTTTCCCCCTCCAACCCAGGCCTATCAGCTCTGGGCTCTCTTTTCCCTGTCTGGAAGCATACAGAAGCTGGCCAGAGAACCTCTGAGACATGGTGCACCTGACTGGCAGCTACCTGCGAAATGTCTGAAACTGCTGACTGGATCGCTGAGTCGCCGCAGTCCGGTAAACTTTGATTGGGGCGCTCTCGGTCACAGAACGGCCAATCAGGGCGTTATAACAGAAGAGGTGGAGAGGCATCCAACAATACCAAGGACTTGAGGGAACTGCATGTGCAGACCGAAAGCGCCATCAAGAAAGGTGACCGGGAAACTCTACCTAGTGCCATGGAACTTCGTGCTAGATCGAAGACTACCTTCTGAAACTTGGACTTCAACCTATTTCAGGTTGCCACATCCTATCCGGGCACTTTTTAAACGAAGTGGGCGCTTAGGTACAGATACCATGGTGCGGGGATGTCGCAATCCCATTGTCCTTCCTGGGGACCTCCTGTTGGTCCCCACACACACACTGCATCCACTTCAAACACACACTGCATCCACTTCACACACACACCACATCCACTTCACATGCACACACACTGCATCCACTTCTGCTGCAGTGGGTGCAAATGAGCATAAAACAGAGGGTGGAGTGGGGTTGGGGAAAGTATTGGTATTGGTAGAAGGAGAAAGATGAGCGATCTCTTCCCTGATTGTAGACATTGTCTCAGTGAATAGAGTTGCAAAGTTTGTGACAGTCAAGTTGTTAGGAGGAGGAGGAGCAACAGAGAGTTACAAATGTGAAATAGGCGTTTGGGTTCATGGGAGAGTGTGGTTATGAGGGTATTAAAGTGGCTTTCTCCAGCAGTGTTAAGCAGTTCTGGAGCATTTTTGGAGGTACCGGGTCAGCTTGCTGTGTCAGAGTTGTAATTGGGAGCGCTTGGTGCATTTCAATGTAGGTGGTGCTATAACGTCTAGCTGAGAGGAGAGGGTGAAGTTGTAGAGGGAGGTTGCAGAGTTAGGGTAGGTTAAGTTTTGAGATGGGTAAATGGAGAGTTTGGAGGTTGGTGGAGAATCACTGTAGGTCGCTAATGCGCATGTTGCTTGCACATCGGTGTGGCATCACGTGAGGAGGAGGAGTCTGATTAGGTAAGTGGGGGGGGGACAGCGCAGATTCAGAGGAACACTACAGTGTTAGGAATACAGCTTTGTAACTGAAAGGTTTTTTTTAACCCTTTAAATTCAGCTGCTTATTCAATTCATTTACAACTGCAAGTGTGTGATGTCATTCGTACTGTTTATTCACTGAAACGAGGGAGAGGGATAAGAATGGCTGTGCAAGCAAGCCACTCCCTGATTAGTCAATAAATAATATATACAATAGGGATACAGATGTGGATCTACAGAAAATAAAAAATTATGAAGTGTAATACAGTTATAAATATGTAGTACGTGCCACTATCAATGCGCTCACACAATAAGACGGTGATAAAGAGCCTCAATGTGCCTCCCCCGAAATCACTGGTAAACCAGAAGGTACCATGTTCCCCAAGGCCTCCATCCTCCAGACGTAGGAAGACTCCAGGTAGTTAGTATGCAATAAATGTATGAAAAATATATTTGTAATAAAAATGACAATAAAACTAGATGGTCCAACGCGTTTCATTCAATATTTGGACTCCTCTGGAGCTAAACAATTCATAAAAATAATAAAATAAATTCCAAGAGCATTTAGTGCAAAATGAAATGGATCACAGTAACCCTTTACAATCCAATTACAACTGCAAGTGTGTGATGTCCTACTTACTGTTTACTCATTGGGAGAGGGATAGAAATGGCTGTGGAATCCAGTCACTTTCTGATTAAGGCAGGGGTCAAACAGAACCTGCAAGTGACTGCAAACTTGGAAGAAAAATGGAACAATTTACATGGTGTTTGATTCTTTTTATAACTGTGCTCTGTTTTTTATTAAATGTTTATGCATTATCTGTTTAATGACTGATACATGACCCTAAGTGTCCATTACAACTAATTATACTGATTTAAGGCACAGTTAAAGGACCACTATAGTGCCAGGAAAACATACTCATTTTCCTGGCACTATAGTGCCCTGAGGGTGCCCCCACTCTCAGGGACCCCCTCCCGCCCGGCTCTGGAAGGGGGAAAGGGGTTAAAACTTACCTTTTCTCCAGCGCCGGGCGGGGAGCTCTCCGCCTCCGATCCTCCTCCTCTCCTCCCCGTCGGCTGAATGCGCACGCGCGGCAGGAGCTGCGTACGCATTCAGCCGGTCGCATAGGAAAGCATTTACAATGCTTTCCTGTGGACGCTTGCGTGCTCTCACTGTGATTTTCACAGTGAGAATCACGCAAGCGCCTCTAGCGGCTGTCAATGAGACAGCGACAAGAGGATTTGGGGGAAGGATTAACCCATTCATAAACATAGCAGTTTCTCTGAAACTGCTATGTTTATAAAAGAATGGGCTAAGCCTAGCTGGATTAAGCTGAAGTGGTCTGGGTGCCTAGAGTGGTCCTTTAAAGAAATACAAGTTTTTTAAGAAAAAGGGATCTGCACTTTTTGTAAAATGAAAACAGGACTATCTTCACATATGGCAACGTGCTTTAGGTGTTTGGAGAGTCCCATTAATGGAACGGACAAAGACAGAGGATTCCAGACACTATAACCACTTCAATGAGATGAATAGGTTACAGTGCCTTTAAGCAGACAGACATGGTCAGGAAATAAAGTCACATGACCGGGAGTTTATTATGAGAAAGCTATGTTATCAATGCCGTAGGTAGGAGTCCGTTATCTCAGAATAAACTCATGGCCCTCTGTATTCCAAGCACTACGGATTCTAGAACTTCCACAGAATGGGGTGATATAGCTATGCGTAGTTTTGCATCATAGAAAAAGTCATTTATAAAATACACATTCTTCCAGGTTAGTCAGACTTTATCTAGAACTAATTAGAATTAGAAACAGCATAGAACATTGTAGGCAAAACACAGAGTGTAAGAAAAACATAAACAGGTGAAAGATTGTTCTTTTTTTAACTACAAGAATTATAGTTTCACTGTTGGTAAACCATGTGTGAGCTCGGCCATCGAAGCCCATTCCATGTCCCTCGACTAACCAAAAAGCCAAGATGGCCAAACTCAGTTCACCATGCTTCACAGTCTTCAACAGGATTGCACATTACGTCCTGTCCCTGGAATCTTGTGTCCTTTTTATATTGTGGATAAATAGAATAGAAAAGACGGTCAAAGGGATTTGGGCCCCAAAAAGGGACTGTCCCTCCTAAATATGGAGACTTGGGAGGTATGCTGCTGTCTGTGTAAGATTACTAGTGTGTACAATATTGCTTTCATATGGTGTTATATGTTTTGAGTGTATGCATTTGTGACACTCATCTGCTCATAATGAGCGGATGGCGCCCTCTACTGGAATAGTCTTTTATCTTTATATAGACTTGAAGAGAAGACATCACTTGTAACTGTACAGTCTATTGCACAGATACGGCATGCGCAGGGCTGGTGCAAGGATTTCTGCCACCCTACGCAAAGGTCCATATTGCCGCCCCCTCATGTCACTCACTCACTGACAGACACACACTCACTGACAGGCATACACTCACTCACTGACACACATGCACTCACACAAAACTCACTGACAGATATACACTCACTCACTCACTGACAGACACACAAACAGACACTTACTGACAGACATACACTCACTCACTGACAGACACACACAGACACTCACTGAGGAACACACACACTCACTGACATACATACACTCACAACTGACAGACACATACACAGGCAGACACTCACTGACAGACACACACTCTCACAATTTTATTTTTTTGAGGCCCATCCAGCCTCCCTACCTCCCTGGGGTCCAGCGTGGGGCTGCGAGAAGAGCCTCCCTCGCCGCCTGCCTTCTCCTTCCCCCTCTCCTCCAGTCACCGGCATTTGTTGGCAGAGCAGGCACCTGCCATTAGGGTAAGCAGGTGCCTGCTCTGCCTTACCTAGCACAGTTTTTGGGACGCCCCATGGTGGCCACATGGCCACCTCCTGGGCTCCCTGTGACAGGGCTTCTCTCAACCCTCCCATTTTCGGGCGCCTAGTCGGCTGTGTATGAAAAGGACTCCCCTGCAGAATGTGGAATACAAATGCAGCAGGATTTCTCATAGATGAATGATTTGATATTCCTTCTACAGCACATGAATTCTGCATACTGCATGGCAGCCCATCAATGTGTTTTTTTGGTATATGTGATATAAAACACTGGATCTGGCAAGCTGACTTTTCATGTAGATTGGCACCGGAAGCCGACAAAGGGAAATGCCTACATGGCATTTGGCACTGGAAGCCAACAGAGGGGATACCTCCATGACATTTATATAGATTTGCACCGGAAACCGACACAGGGGAATACCTCCATGACATTTAAATGGTTTGGCACTGGAAACTGACATAGGGGAATACCTCCATGACATTTAAATAGACTGGCACCGGAAGCTGACACAGAGGATACCTCCTTGACATTTAAATAGATTGGCACCGGAAGCCGACACAGGAATACCTCCATGACATTTAAATAGATTGGCACCGGAAGCTGACACAGGGGAATACCTCCATGACATTTAAATAGGTTGGCACCGGAAGCCGACACAGGGGAATACCTCCATGACATTTAAATAGATTGGCACCGGAAGCCGACACAGGGGAATACCTCCATGACATTTAAATAGATTGGCACCGGAAGTCGACACAGGGGAATACCTCCATGACATTTAAATAGACTGGCACCGGAAGCCGACACAGGGGAATACCTCCATGACATATAAATAGATTGGCACCGGAAACCGACACAGGGGATACCTCCATGACATTTAAATAGACTGGCACCGGAAGCCGACACAGGGGAATACCTCCATGACATTTAAATAGATTGGCACCGGAAACCGATACAGGGGATACCTCCATGACATATAAATAGATTGGCACCGGAAACCGACACAGGGGATACCTCCATGACATTTAAATAGATTGGCACCGGAAACCTCCATGACATTTAACCCCTTAAGGACCAAACTTCTGGAATAAAAGGGAATCATGACATGTCATGTGTCCTTAAGGGGTTAAATAGATTGGCACCGGAAACCAACACAGGGGATACCTCCATGACATTTAAATTGATTGGCACCGGAAACCGACACAGGGGAATACCTCCATGATATTTAAATGGATTGGCACCGGAAACCGACACACGGGAATACCTCCATGACATTTAATTAGATTGGCACGGGAATACCTCCATGACATTTAAATGGATTGGCACCGGAAGCCAACACAGGGGATACCTCCATGACATTTAAATAGATTGGCACCGGAAACCGACACAGGAGATACCTCCATGACATTTAAATAGATTGGCACCGGAAACCGATACAGGGGATACCTCCATGATTTAGCTATGCAATGTGGGAGGGCAGGACAGTCATTTCCAAAAAAGCTACCTTTTCCACAAATTGTGAAAACTTAACTAAAAAAACTAAAGCGAATCACTGTACACAATGTCTAGTATTAATATTGCTTTAAGGACAACTTGCTTTAAGTTACGGGGTATGTTTAAAGTGTGCATAATGCCCCAAAATACATTTTTAATATCCTATTATTATTTACATTATATCTCTGGTGCTTAGCACATTATATTTCCCATCATGCCTCTAACTTCTACTCCCTGATTGGTTGGGTATTTTCGACTGTAACACTGTTATCATAATTTAGGGTTCAGGTTATGGTTCTGTACCCCAAATCAGTTCCATGATGAATTCTGCAGCAGGACAAATTACATCAGTATTTACAAAAAGCCTGATCTATATAGATACAGATTGTTTGTACGTGGGGTATAGACAGGTTATATGTGACATGCTGACAGTTTATATATCATTTTATTGATTAATGTAACTATAATAAACATCCCAGATTCCCTGTGACACAGCGTGACAATAAACAATCAATGTGTGTTTAATCACCAGGAGAGCTAAAAATACACCTCTAATGCCTATAATAAAATACATTACCTTAAACTAATACAACCACACAGTGACACAAACCTGTCATTACCTGACTCACCTGAGTCCGCTGCCTAGCAACACCAAAATATTTCCACCGTTCTGCAGCTGTCAGTCTGTGGGTGCATCCCCTGCTACTGCGAGTAGGTTAGAGCCTTGGGATTTACTAGTCTATTCCTGGAGGCCGCCCAGGGCCCGATATTTCAGAGCCAGTGTTTTATTTAGCAGACCGATCAAACAGCAGCAGAAAGAGCCTTTCCAAGAGGGCCGCCACGGCCAGCGCGTCTTACTGGACACATCATTTATTTATTGGTGATGGTCTGTGTATGAAAAGGACTTCCCTGCAGAATGTGGAATACATATGCAGCAGGATTTCTCATAGATGAATGATTTGATATTCCCTCTACAGCACATGGATTCTGCATACTGCATGGCAGCCCATCATTGTGTTTTGGGTATATGTGATATAAAACACTAGATCTGGCAAGCCGACTTTCCATGTAGCTTGGCACCGGAAGCCGACATTTAAATGGAACGCATCACGTTGCTGCAATTTACACCATTAAGTAAAGCTCTAAAAATCTCCTGGAACTTGCGTTAACCTATTTTCATGAGATGTTCAGTTTTTTAATATGAATTTTAAAAATGTAGCTGTGGACGGCACAATCCTTTAAGTCATGGCACACAATCCAAATGAGATGGAGATATAGAGCTGCATTCTCCATAGTCTTTATTAAAGGGATTGTCAGATTCCAGCCCACAGTGTAAGAGTGTGAACAATCCTGGGACGTCACAGCTCCCCTTTAACCCCTTAAGGACACATGACAGAAATATTCCGTCATGGTTCCCTTTATTTCAGAAGTTGTATCCTTAAGGGGTTAAACATCATTAACTTTGTGACAGGGGAATATTACAAAGAAAAACTGCAAACTATTGACAAAGACAGTAGGAAGGTTTTATTAAACCTAATTAATAACGGATCCATTGATTCAGATTTATTGACCAGATTAAAAGAATTTCTATTCAAATGAATCGAATGGTTTATGTACGAAACCCATTTTTGCACGTTTAGCTGCATTATTGGTATATATGTGTAAACGTGAGATATCTGTGGTGGAGGTATCATTGTCTGTGGTGGAGGTCACTGGTGAGATGTGTTTCCTGTATGAACCTTTTGATGGGGTCAATATTTCCCTGCTCAGTGGCTTGTAACTGGTCTCCGTCCTGGGGGAGGGAGGGCAGAGATTGGAGCAGATGAATCTGCTGCCATTGTTTTTACTTTTTCTGGCCTCTGAGCTATTTATTGCTCAGCTCGGAAATCCATGTGGGTGGGCAGGAGGCCTGCGACTCCATCACCTAACACAGCCTGACTCATGTTGGACGCTGCATCACTTTTCCTGCAGGAAACTGTCTGAAAACACGGGAAAGTTCATCATGTAGAAAGAGGGCCGTGCACAGTCTGTTTAATCATGCAGGACACGTAGCTGGCGTGGCCACTGTTTAGGCCATGTGCGTGGTTACGTAAAGAGATGAATTGCACTGTGCGTCAGTGGCCTGTCAGAAAACACGTCCACCTAGTCTAACCTTCTTGGCCACGAATCAGCACATTCGCTGCGCCGTAATCTGCAACAGATGTCGTGTTGTTATTTTAGGAAAGTTCAGTGAGCGGAGACTGGGGTTTGCACGCTCTCTTGCCTAATTTTAGTTTGATAAACATGAGATGTTTCATGCAATGGTTGGTATATGATAATTCAAACCCAGTGACCCCTTCTCTCAGAGAGAAATACACAGAAAAATGTGTAATGTTTACAATGTCTATGTGAGATGTGTACTGCAGCCCTGGACTGTTGAAGTTAAAGAGGCACTCTTGACTCCATAACCACTACAGTTCTATGTATCATTACAGCTCATTGTATTATTACTGCTCATTGTATTATTACAACTTATTATGGAATTAATATGGTTAAAGGGATACTATAGGTTCCCAGACCATTTCTTCTCAATCAAGTGGTGTGGGTGCTATGTACTTTGGTTTAAGGCTAGTGGCTGATTTCTCTATTGGCTGATCCCTCTGGTGACTGATCCCTCTAGTGACTGATCTCTCTAGTGACTGATCCCTCTAGTGACTGATCCCTCTAGTGGCTGATCTCTCTAGTGGCTGATCCCTCTAGGGGCTGATCTCTAGTGGCTGATCCCTCTAGTGGCTGATCCCTCTAGTTGCTGATCCCTCTAGTGACTGATCCCTCTAGTGGCTGATCCCTCTAGGGGCTGATCTTTAGGGGCTGATCTCTCTAGTGGCTGATCCCTCTAGTGACTAGATCCCTCTAGTGGCTGATCCCTCTAGTGACTGATCTCTCTAGTTGCTCATCCCTCTAGTGACTGATCTCTCTAGTTGCTGATCCCTCTAGTGGCTGATCCCTCTAGTGGCTGATCCCTCTAGTAAATGATCCCTCTATTGGCTGATCCCTCTAGTGACTGATCCCCCTAGTGGCTGATCCCTCTTGTGACTGATTTCTATATTGGCTGATCCCTCTGGTGACTGATCTCTCTAGTGACTGATCCCTCTAGTGTCTGATCTCTCCAGTGGCTGATCCCTCTAGTGACTAAACCCTCTAGGGGCTGATCTCTAGTGGCTGATCCCTCTAGTGGCTGATCCCTCTAGTGACTGATCCCTCTATTGGCTGATTTCTCTATTGGCTGATCCCTCTGGTGACTGATCTCTCTAGTGACTGATCCCTCTAGTGTCTGATCTCTCTAGTGTCTGATCCCTCTAGTGGCTGATCCCTCTGGTGACTGATCCCTATAGTGACTGATCCCTCTAGTGACTGATCTCTCTAGTGACTGATCTCTCTAGTGTCTGATCCCTCTAGTGGCTGATCTCTCTAGTGGCTGATCCCTCTAGTGACTGATCCCTCTGGTGACTGATCCCTCTAGTGACTGATCTCTCTAGTGTCTGATCCCTCTAGTGGCTGATCCCTCTGGTGACTGATCCCTCTAGTGACTGATCTCTCTAGTGTCTGATCCCTCTAGTGGCTGATCTCTCTAGTGGCTGATCCCTCTAGTGGCTGATCCCTCTGGTAACTGATCCCTCTAGTGACTGATCTCTCTAGTGTCTGATCCCTCTGGTGACTGATCCCTCTAGTGACTGATCCCTCTAGTGTCTGATCCCTCTAGTGGCTGATCTCTCTAGTGGCTGATCCCTCTGGTGACTGATCCCTCTAGTGACTGATCTCTCTAGTGACTGATCCCTCTAGTGACTGATCCCTCTAGTGGCTGATCTCTCTAGTGGCTGATCCCTCTAGGGGCTGATCTCTAGTGGCTGATCTCTCTAGTGGCTGATCCCTCTAGTGGCTGATCCCTCTAGTTGCTGATCCATCTAGTGACTGATCCCTCTAGTGGCTGATCCCTCTAGGGGCTGATCTTTAGGGGCTGATCTCTCTAGTGGCTGATCCCTCTAGTGACTAGATCCCTCTAGGGGCTGATCCCTCTAGGGGCTGATCCCTCTAGTGACTGATCTCTCTAGTTGCTCATCCCTCTAGTGACTGATCTCTCTAGTTGCTGATCCCTCTAGTGGCTGATCCCTCTAGTGGCTGATCCCTCTAGTAAATGATCCCTCTATTGGCTGATCCCTCTAGTGACTGATCCCCCTAGTGGCTGATCCCTCTTGTGACTGATTTCTATATTGGCTGATCCCTCTGGTGACTGATCTCTCTAGTGACTGATCCCTCTAGTGTCTGATCTCTCCAGTGGCTGATCCCTCTAGTGACTAAACCCTCTAGGGGCTGATCTCTAGTGGCTGATCCCTCTAGTGGCTGATCCCTCTAGTGAATGATCCCTCTATTGGCTGATCTCTCTATTGGCTGATCCCTCTAGGGGCTGATCTCTATTGGCTGATCCCTCTAGTTGCCGATCTCTCTAGTGACTGATCTCTATAGTTGCTGATCCCTCTAGTGGCTGATCCCTCTTGTGACTGATTTCTATATTGGCTGAT